CCCTCTTAATGCACATCCCAAAATACAGGTGATTAACCCTCTTAAGGCAGGTCCTAAAATACAGGTGATAAACCCTCTTAAGGCAGGTCCTAAAATACAGGTGTTTAACCCTCTTTATTTCAGTCCCATCTCAAGAAAGTTGTCATCCATGGAAAGATACAGTTCAATTTTACCAAACACAGGGTACACCACTCTTCAGCTTGATTAAAAGCACCCAGATATCCACAAGTTCATTGAAGTGAATGACACACCCACCTTGCGTACAGATACACATGCATTGGGAAAACTCAATTCTTTGAAAACAGCACGCGTAAACACCCAATGAAGCTTTTTCAGCAGGTGTACAATTGAGCTCATTTCCAAAACACAATTACAAGCTAATATACTTTCCAAGTCAAGCCTATATTTAACTGTTATACACATCTAAAACATTATTTAATTTTTTCTAAAAATGTTTACTTATTTTGGGGAAAACCCAACAGAATGATGAATAGATGAGTGAAGAAATATTGGTTACCCAATGAAAAATGTAATAACCCAATTACTGGGTAAAATAGAAACCTTCGAGTAAAAACTCAATTGCTCAAGAAGTTATCTGGAGCTCTGATACCCCCAAAAATAAACATTCCTGAAAGTCACCAGTTCATCACATGATTGGTGTTTATACAAAGTTTCACGAAGATATTGAATGGTTTATGAAAACTGAGTGATCATGAAAACAAGGTAAAGCACAATCCGTACGACAAATTTCAGTTAAATACCAGTAATAAAAGTTTTCCTACAATCTGGATGATATGACAATATATCGCTGACTTTACCGATAGATGACGTATGATATTTTGTGCTTACAGCCTACCACTATAGTGATAATCATCAGACCTGCTAATTACAAAGTACAACATTTCTCGCCAGGCCTCATTGCAGGCATGCCTACTTCGACACCTAATCAGGATACCTGGGATAAACCTGCACTGAATTAACGACTAATTGATAACACCTCACGTCATTAGTAGGGCTGGGATGCTACACCAACTGTGCGATCCGATAGGTATCACGATACCTAGCTCATGATCCGAGTATTGCAATACTTGCATGTGCACTTATCTGTGGTGCGTAAGCCATCTTTTTCATAGACAGGATTGCTAAATACCTGCACACTAATGATTTACAGTTGGCAGTGTCAGGTATGGCGCAATGGATGAAAATATTTACGTTTTCACTACTCATTTTCACTAGTAATTAGTGTTTGGTTAGTGTTAACAGTTGGCAGTGTCAGGTATGGCGCAATGGATGAAAATATTTACGTTTTCACTACTCATTTTCACTAGTAATTAGTGTTTGGTTAGTGTTAACACTTATTTAAGAAAACATTTAAGGTAAGAATAGATACTTTTTACTTAGTGTGTCACTGTGATTGATACTAATATTGAGAACTAAAAAATCGCGATCCTCCAATGCATGGGGGTATCACTCATGATTAGTAGGATATTACTGTTATAGTTTGAAGTCAACCCACAATGCCTTGCTACCCTACTACCGAGATACATCTATTGCAGAGAAGTCCCTCATGACAGAGAAATGTAGCTTTTTTCAACTGTGCCACGGGGCATTTGTTAAGTTGTTTAGGTATGTCCTTGAGAATTTGGCTGTGTCAAGAATAAAATACTTTTCATCCATCTTCGAACACGGTGAGTGTGATTTCCCCACGAGTTAGATACAACAGTAATAAGTGGTTTCCCTTCTCCCTGTCTCTGAGATTGATAATACACTTTAATGAATCATGCAGTGCATTGAGTGAGGTCACATTTTTATCATCTCCCATGTGTTAGTTCTGTTGAATTGTTACACCACAGTCGGTATCTCTGGTCAGGCAACATTTCTTAAACATGCCTTGTAAGCCTAGCTAATAATAGGTAACTTGAAATAACTTGAACAAATTTGAACCATCTTGAACCAATTTGAAACAACTTGAAACAACTTAAAAACAACCTTCAACAAATTTGAAACAGCTTGAAACAACCTTGAACAACTTGAAACAACCTTGAACAAATTGAAACAAATTCAGCTACTTTAACAACTTGAAACAACCTTGAACAACTTGAAACAACCTTGAACAACTTGAAACAACCTTAATCAACTTGAAACAACCTTGAACAACTTTAATCAACTTGAAACAACCTTGAACAACTTGAAACAACCTTGAACAACTTGAAACAACCTTGAACACCTTGAACCAATTTGAACCATCTTGAACAAATTTGAACCAACTTGAAACAACTTGAAATAAACTTGAACAACTTGAAATGTTTTGAAACCAACTTGAACCACAGCAATTGCTGACGTCCCCAGTCACTGGGTGGGGATCACAACGTTCCGCCTTATCAGTCATGAAAAGATCACGCAGGTAGATCCAGACACTCCTCAAGTCACTTGTCAGGTGCACGCTTGTAGAAACATGTTTGTGAACAATAAACTGATATCTGTTTTCAGTGTTTTGGTATCTCCCTACACAAAACTATTCATCCATGAACAAACAACTGCCTAATCTGTACCCTCACCTTGCCAAGCTCAGGTGTGAAACAGTACCACATAAACATCAACACACACATACACAACGTACACACACAGTCAGATATCTCCAAATCTCATCTCTAAATATTAGTTGTCCTCAAAGTATCATCAACTCAAAGAACAACAGTTGTAGGTAAACAGTACAGATGACACTGATCCTGTAAAGCAATTATCACCTGCTACAGGTGTGTGTCCCAGAATCAATGTGTTGTACTTTGTGTATGCCCCGAGGAGGGGCGTGTGTGTGTGTGTGTGTTAAGCCCTGGGGTGGGAGGAACATTATGCCCTGGGGTGGGGAAGGAAGGTGGGGAGGTAGGGGTTTGTTATGCCCTGGGGTGGGGAAGGGGGTGAGTTATGACCTAGATCGGGACGGTCCGAGAGGTTCATAAGGAGCTGTTCAACACTTATTGTTTAAACAAGTTCTCTTAACTGATTGTAGAAACATTACCCTTGATAAACCAAGACTGGAACGATTTAAACCAGCAGGGAGTTGTCACTTCAACACTTCCTAACTTGAACATACAGCCTGTTATTATCCTGAAGATGGTTATATCATTATTGCAAGTACTTATTCCTCGTTAATCCCTCAATCTGAAAACTCTCATTACTGTGGAGGGGTAGGTAGGGGTCAGGATATTATAGAGGGGGGGGGGAAGACAGAGGTCGGGGTTCAGACCACCAATGAATAAGAGTGTACCCATGTTGGTAATTATTGATCCCCGGAATTTGGCAAGACAAGCAAACACTTTGACAACTTGGCCTCCACTTTAACACTTTAAGACAACATGTATTTCAGCTGCATGCATTTCAGGCTATTTAGCGGATTTAGACAATGTGAATAGGACTTTCCTGCAGCAACTTTGTAATGTCCGAATAATTCATACTGAATCAGTGAATGATCTATTTATACTCAGAAATTAAAATATATCATATATGAAATTATAAACAACAAGCCAAATTATAAGAATCCTGTAAAATGATAGTATTTTTCCATTTCCACAACAAATACATAATGTAGTTATTCAGTGTAAAATCTTAGTCCTGAAATAATCATCAGATATTAGTAATTCAAAAAATGCTTTATTTATATCCAGCCATGGAACGCCACTAAATTATTCACCCCTTTCAAACCTTGAATACTACACATTAAATATGCATAAGATTCATATTTAAACCCACGGAACACAACTCATGGCATGTCATTCAGAATAACACAAACTGCCATACAATTGAAAACTGATAAATTAGCCGAATATTATCGCAACTCAAATGCTCTGTAACTTAAAGGCATTAAAAATTTAAAGGCTCCCATTTTATGACTAAAGACTTGAAAGGGTTAACATAAACACAGACAAAAACCAACTTGTCGTAATATCGGCAAAATGATCATGATAAACAGCTGTTGCTTTGGCTACTGTGTAGAATCAATAACTACCTGGCTGCCTATATACACAGAGGGAGAGACGGCCAGACAGGCAGTACGCTGCTTTATCACACAGTTATAACCTTGGTATAAAACCCTTAGTGCTCCTTACACTCGCTTCTGAATGATGGCCACATTTGACATTGGGATAACTGAAATTTACTGGAATAAGCAGAAAGTCTGACAACACAAGCAGTTTTTCGACATTGCAAAAAATGCTAAACTTGTTTCAAATTTACCAATATTTATAAAACTGTAGTCCTGCACCATGACCGTGGAATATATTTATTTTATGAAATAAATCTAGAAATGCATACATAAGCAAGTCTAGCAAGCTCTAGCTAGCTCTATTCCACTGAAATCAGCATAGGGAATTTTTATTTTATTTTAGAGTCAAGAAGGATATTGTGTGATATAAGATTTCAGAGACTAAATGTTAGTCTAATAAAACTGATGCGGCCCCATTTCTCCATCCTACAGAATACAAGGCAAGCTACGTCAACTAGGACAGATGTTTCAATGTATTTTGTTAAAAAAAATATTCTCAAACATGTTGACTGTAAACCACCTCGAACTGCAATTAATTATAAAAACACATTTAACCCAAAGTTAAATAGTTGAGAATTCAAAGCCCTCAGTCCCTGCACATGGAAAAGACATTAAAAGAGGGAGCGTGTTTCACCTAAGGTCCCATGTCAAGTGAAAAAAACACTGTAACTTTATCAGGCTGGGAAAACCTCTAAGCTATCATCACAACCCACTTTCAACTCACATACAGCCACACTGGAAGTCAGGTAGCCATCCCACCATAAATTCATTAATATGTATCAGAAATAATCAATAAAGTCAAAATTTTAAATTTACAAATCCAACATGTAAATATGAAAAGACGATAGGGTTCTGCTTGAAGAAAACACAACGTTCTCATCTGACATCTAGTTCCCCAAACCCTAAACTTCATTCACTGCTGAAACAGAAAAACTTTGTTTACATATGATGTACTCACCGAAGAGTTTTGTGTTGGTGCGAGTTCGGAGGTATGAGGGCCCCTTGTCGAGCAATCGACTCGGCTGTTTCCCCATCGTACACGACGTCACCAAGAGAGACATTTTCATTCTACAGAGTCAACCACAACTTATAATCCAGTTCAGCACAACTTGACACCTGACATTCTAGAAGAACCACAAGGCAATCCAACCACCTCGGCCAACCAGGAACACAGCTGTCTCTCGCTCTCCTTCCCTCTCTCTCTCTCCAGCCCATGTGACTATTAATAGCTCCCACAGGTGAGCCATTCACAGGTCACATGACCGTTGTATAAACACTCAGCGATATGGGTGTTATTACTGGGGGTGATACATCTCCTTGGTGTCGACAGAGGGGGGAATTCCCTCCTTGCCCCAGGTGATGGTTCCATATCCGAACCTACAAGGAGATATTGACAAGAGATATTGATAGCGTAAACACTTGTGTGTCTTGATCTATAGTGACTCAGTGGTCAGTGGAGAGATACTGTCCTCTCTATAACACACTGTTCTCTCTATAACACACACCTGACAAGCATGTTATAAAGACTCAAGTCATGCTCAGAAAATAGGAACATTAATGGTAGAAAAATGTATTCACAGAACTTGAACCTACCTAAAAAAATTTTGTTGCAAATTTCTGACACTGATACTTGATTTTATGGATTTTCACACGGCAAGTATGTTTTTCGTCCTGACAGTGTCAACCATGGTCGTATAGAGTCGCTAGGATGCAGCTAGAATTAGACTGAGGATGAATAAAGATAAAATGAGTAAAATAGTTGTATTTCAAGAAATGTATGATCTATTGCTGTAATATCCCTGAGTAAAAAAATGAGGTAAATAATTGCTACTTGTATCCTTGGAAACATGCTGGACTCAATACAGTGACTACTTGTTAGATGGACCACTGGCTCGATGACCAACACAGTGACTACTTGTGAGATGGACCACTGGCTCCATGATGTTAGATGGACCACTGGTTTCATGATGTTAGATGGACCACTGGTTCCATGATGTTAGATGGACCACTGGCTCCATGATGTTAAATGGACCACTGGCTCCATGACCAACACAGTAACTACATGTGAGATGGACCACTGGCTCCATGACAACACTGTAACTACTTGTTAGATGGACCACTGGCTCCATGATCAACACTGTAACAACTTGTTAGATGGACCACTGGCTCCATGACCAACACAGTGACTACTTGCTAGATGGACCACTGACTCCGTGATCAACACTAACTTTTTGTTAGATGAACCACTGGCTCCATGATCACACTGTAACTACTTGTTAGATGGACCACTGGCTCCATGATCAACACTGTAACTACTTGTTAGATGGACCATTGGCACCATGATGTTAAATGGACCACTGGCTCCATGACAACACAGTGACTACATGTGAGTTGGACCAGTGGCTCCATGATCAACACTGTAACTACTTGTTAGATGGACAACTGGCTCCATGACAACACAGTGACTACTTGTTAGATGGACCACTGGCTCCATGACAACACTGTAACTACTTGTTAGATGGACCACTGGCTCCATGATGTTAGATGGACCACTGGCTCCATGATGTTAAATGGACCACTGGCTCCATGACCAACACAGTGACTACATGTTAGATGGACCACTGGCTCCATGACAACACTGTTACTACATGTGAGATGGACCACTGGCTCGATGACCAACACTGTAACTTCTTGTTAGATGGACCACTGGCTCCATGACCAACACAGTGACTACATGTGAGATGGACCACTGGCTCCATGACAACACTGTAACTACTTGTTAGATGGACCACTGGCTCCATGATGTTAGATGGACCACTGGCTCCATGATGTTAAATGGACCACTGGCTCCATGACCAACACAGTGACTACATGTGAGATGGACCACTGGCTCCATGACCAACACTGTAACTACTTGTTAGATGGACCACTGGCTCCATGACAACACAGTGACTACTTGTGAGATGGACCACTGGCTCCATGAAAACACTGTAACAACTTGTTAGATGGACCACTGGCTCCATGAAAACACTGTAACAACTTGTTAGATGGACCACTGGCTAAACGTAAAAAACCCTCAAAGCACAATCAATTTGAGACACAAGTGCTGTCAAGCACTAGTCCCCAACAACTCGCTGATATATCCTTGTGTGAAGAACCAGCAGATACCTGATGCCTCGACACCTCCTGCTGTTCTAATGAGGTGGGATCGTTAGTTCCAGGTAGCTGACCATGACGGGACAGGTAGTGAGCCTACACAGGTAAAGGAGTGCACTCAATACCGTCAAACATCTACCACCCACTCAATGCTATCAAACATCCACCACCCACTCAATACTATCAAACATCCACCGCGCATTCAATACTGTCAAACATCCACCATGCACTCAATACTGTCAAACATCCACCACACACCCAATACTGTCAAACATCCACAACCCACTCAATACTATCAAACATCCACCAACCACTAAGTACTGTCAAACATCCACCACACACTCAATACTATCAAACATCCACCACCCACTCAATACTGTCAAACATTCACCACCCACTCAATGCTATCAAACATCCAACACATTCACTCAATGCTATCAAACATCCACCACCCACTCAATGCTATCAAACATTCACCACCCACTCAATGCTATCAAACATCCACCACCCACTCAATACTGTCAAACATTCACCACCCACTCAGTCCTGTCAAACATTCACCACCCACTCAGTACTGTCAAACATCCACCACGCACTCAATACTGTCAAACATCCACCACCCACTCAATGCTATCAAACATCCATCACCCACTCAATACTATCAAACATCCACCACGCACTCAATACTGTCAAACATCCACCACCCACTCAATGCTATCAAACATCCACCACATTCACTCAATGCTATCAAACATCCACCGACCACTCAATGCTATCAAACATCCACCACCCACTCAATGCTATCAAACATCCACCACCCACTCAATGCTATCAAACATCCACCACCCACTCAATGCTATCAAACATCCACCACCCACTCAATGCTATCAAACATCCAACACATTCACTCAATGCTATCAAACATCCACCACCCACTCAATGCTATCAAACATTCACCACCCACTCAATGCTATCAAACATCCACCACCCACTCAATACTGTCAAACATTCACCACCCACTCAGTGCTGTCAAACATCCACCACGCACTCAATACTGTCAAACATCCACCACCCACTCAATGCTATCAAACATCCACCACCCACTCAATGCTATCAAACATCCACCACCCACTCAATGCTATCAAACATCCAACACATTCACTCAATGCTATCAAACATCCACCACCCACTCAATGCTATCAAACATCCAACACATTCACTCAATGCTATCAAACATCCACCACCCACTCAATGCTATCAAACATCCACCACCCACTCAATGCTATCAAACATCCACCACCCACTCAATGCTATCAAACATCCACCACCCATTCAATGCTATCAAACATCCAACACATTCACTCACTCTCATTCAGGTGGTTGGTGTAATGTTAAAAATCAATAAAAGGATGTCTTCTATAGCACCAATTTAATGTTAAAGCAACATATCTGACAGTGGCCATACTGATTATTTGTTTCAGGTAGAGATCCGGGGTAGAATAGGTCTTAAGCAACCCATGCTTGCCGTAAAAGGCGACTATGCTCGTCATCAGAGGCTACTAATGGGAACAGGTTGTCAGACTTGATGACTTGGTTGATGCATGTCATCGTATCCCAATGACATGGATCGATGCTCTTAATGTCAACCACTGGATTATCTGGTCCAGACTTGATTATTTACAGACCACCGTCATATAGCGGGAATATTGCTGAGTGCGGCGTTATACAATAAACAAACAAATGATTCACGTACAAATATACTGGATGTTGAGCCAGAGCTCGCTGCTGAACAGAGTGATTTCAGTCATTACATCATTGATATGAAGCTTCAATGTAGAATCAAGTGAATCAGCATCGTGTAAGGGTGAGACACTGCCCATCTAGACACAGCTGAAAGCACTCATCGCCATGACCTGTGGCAGAGACCAGTGTCACATGTCATACCTCTGTCACAACCAACAACCAACTCTGAAACAGTTTGGAAACTGAAACTATTGATAAACCCATTTGCCTTAATGGCAGTAGGGAAACCTAATCCCCCTGTGAAAGTCTTCCAAATATTTCTTTGTCTAAAGCAAGAGTGTCATGTATCTTCTAACACTGTAGCAGAACCACCTGTCATGGCTTGTGTCAAGGAATCTGCATACTAGTTGGTTGGTTTGTTTGTTTAACACTGCACTCAGCAATACTCCAGCTATTTGAAGGTGGTCTGCAAATAATCAAGTCTGGACCAGACAATCCAGTGATTGATATCATGAGCATTGATCCACGCGATGGGGATCGATGACATGCATCAACTAAGTCACAAGTCTGACCACCCAATGCCCATTTGCGATACTAAGTAACCATCAAAGGTTAATGAACTCTCACCGGTATCAGTTTGTTGTTTAACGCCGCACTCAGCAATATTCCCGCTATATGACGGCAGTCTGTAAATAATAGAGTCTGGACCAGACAATCCAGTGATTGATGTCATGAGCATCCACGTTGGGATAGGGTGCATGCATCAACCAAGTCAGAGAGTCTGACCACCCGATCCCGTTAATTGCCTCTTTTGACATGCATAGTCGCCTTTTACTGTAAGCAACATCCAGATCAGGCTAACTATGCTACTGGTAAACAGTCATCTAAGTTTCTGCGATTTCAGTTTAAAATATACTATATTTGAGAGTTCAATGCCAATGGTGATCTGTTGCAAAAATGGCCATTAGTACCCTTTGCTTGTCTCCCTGTAGAGATTCCTGGGCAGAATAGTTCCCCAGTACCCAATGCTTGTCTCCCCATGAGTATTCCTGGGCAGAATAGTTTCCCAGTACCCAATGCTTGTCTCCCCATGAGTATTCCTGGGCAGAATAGTTCCCCAGTACCCAATGCTTGTCTCCCCATGAATATTCCTGGGCAGAATAGTTCCCCAGTACCCAATGCTTGTCTCCCCATGAGGATTCCTGGGCAGAATAGTTCCCCAGTACCCAATGCTTGTCTCCCCATGAATATTCCTGGGCAGAATAGTTCCCCAGTACCCAATGCTTGTCTCCCCATGAGTATTCCTGGGCAGAATAGTTCCCCAGTACCCAATGCTTGTCTCCCCATGAGTATTCCTGGGCAGAATAGTTCCCCAGTACCCAATGCTTGTCTCCCCATGAGTATTCCTGGGCAGAATAGTTCCCCAGTACCCAATGCTTGTCTCCCCATGAGTATTCCTGGGCAGAATAGTTCCCCAGTACCCAATGCTTGTCTCCCCATGAGGATTCCTGGGCAGAATAGTTCCCCAGTACCCAATGCTTGTCTCCCCATGAGTATTCCTGGGCAGAATAGTTCCCCAGTACCCAATGCTTGTCTCCCCATGAGGATTCCTGTGCAGAATAGGTCCCCAGGGAGGGTGGGGTGGGGTTGGCTTGGGATGGGCTTGGGGTGGGTTAGGGAGGGGTGGAGTAGAGCGAGTGCTCCCAGCCCCTGCTGATGTCTTGACATGTACCGGCAGCTGGCTTCACCCACACTGTCTGACATTTATAGAAGGAAATGCTATGTTTTACAAGGTAAAAAAAATGTTCAGGGATGTTTGTAGGGTG